CTCTGGGCAGCCACAGCAGGGGAGGGGGCGATGCCAGAGCTCCCAAATTCCTGAATTCCTCCCAAACACAGAAATTAAAGGAATGCGGGGAACCAAGCAGCTATGAAAGGAATCACATTTGCTCTAATTCGTGCCTCATCCCATGCTTTGTTCTTTCCAGTTGCCCACAAATACCATCCCATCTTCCCGGGTACTTTCTGTTTCTTTCCCTCCCACACCTCTCGGTACCAGCTGTTCCTTTGTCCTCTGGTGAAGTTTGAAGGTTTTTTTTTGCTGACACGTGGAGCAGAGGGGCAGAGAGGTGGCACAGCAGCCCCTGTGGCACTGTCACTGAGCAGCCCCTGTGGCACTGTCACTCCTCACTCGTGTGACCTCAGGGCTATCCAGGAGCTGCCACTGAAGGGCCCCCGCTCTGTGCTCTGTTCCAGGCTCTGTGGGTACCCTCCTTTCTATGAGGAAACTGAGTCCAAGCTCTTTGAAAAGATTAAGGAAGGTTACTACGAGTTTGAGTCTCCCTTCTGGGATGATATCTCCGAGTCAGGTAAAGCTCTGGCCTTGGGAACCTCAAAATCCCAAAAACCCCAAAGCTGCCAAGCCCCTGGACAGCCAATGCTGCCTCAGTGGGGATGGGGAGGGCTGGAGACTCAACTGGGAATGATCCCCAGACTGAGAATGGTGGGAATGTGGGAAGAGGGGAATGGGGAAATGTGGGAATATGAGAATGGTGGGAATGGTGAGAATGGGGGAATGGTAGGAATGATCCCCAGACTGGGAATGGTGGGAATGTGGGAATGGTGGGAATGGAGGAATGGTGGGAATATCAGAATGGCGGGAATGTGGGGATGGGGAAATGGTGGGAATGGGAATGGGGGAATTGGGGGAATGTGGGAATGGGAATGGTGGGAATGGGCGAATGTGGGAATATCAGAATGGTGGGAATGGGGGGATGGGGAAATGGTGGGAATGGGGGAATGGGAATGGGGGAATGTGGGAATGGGGGAATGGTGAGAATGATCCCCAGACTGGGAATGGGGCAATGGGGGAATATGAGAATGGTGGGAATGTGGGAATGGAGGAATGGTGGGAATGATCCCCAGACTGGGAATGGTGGGAATGTGGGAATGGGGGAATGTGGGAATGGTGAGAATGGGGGAATGGTGGGAATGGGTTATGGGGGAATGGTGGGAATGGGGAATGGTGGGAATATCAGAATGGTGGGAATGTGGGGATGTGGAAATGGTGGGAATCGGGGAATGGTGGGAATGTGGAATGGGAATGGGGGAATGGGGGGAATGTGGGAATGGGAATGGGGGAATGGGATAATGGTGGGAACGTGGAAGGTGGAATGATGGGAATGGGGGAATGGTGAGAATGTGGGAATGGGGGGATGTGGGAATGTGGGAATGGTGGAAATGGGGGAATGGGGGAATGGGAATGATGGGAATGGGGGAATGTGGGAATGGTGGGAATGATCCCCAAACTGGGAATGGTGGGAATGGGGGAATGAGGGAATGTGGGAATATGAGAATGGTGGGAATGGGGGAATGGGGGAATACGAGAATTGTGGGAATGGGGGAATACGAGAATTGTGGGAATGTGGGAATGTGGAATGGTGGGAATGTTGAATGGGGGAAGGATCAGAGTTCCCAGCTCTGCAGTGTTGGGGGATGGTGCCAAAGCAAAGCTGCCCTGGCAGAGAGGGGAGTGCTTGGAACCTGCCTGGAACACAGCACCCTCAGCTGAGGCTGTTGTTAATGYAAAGCTGATTTTCACAAATGATTACTGAGCTCTGAGCAGGATTAGATTTCCCTTGGCAGTGTCCAAGGCCAGGCTGGACAGGGATTGGAGCAGCCTGGGACAGTGCAAGGTGTCCCTGCCCATGCAGGGGTGGGGCTGGATGAGCTTTAGGGCTCCTTGCACCCCAAATCATTCTGTGGCTCTGAAAGAAGGGAAATTCCAGGGTTTTTCCCTTTTTTCCCATGTTCTGTCCCTGCTGGTGGAGCTCCYCTGTGCACAGCTGAGTGCAGGCAGCCTCCTCTCAGCTTATTGAAACATCAATCCTTCACACAAACAAACAAAGCTAGCAGGGGGTGTGCTGGGGCTTAATAACAAACATCACAGTCCTTCCTGCAAGAAAACAAAGGAAAAAAAGGGCAGGGATGGAAGAGCTCTTCAGGGCAACCTCTAAATCTGCTCAATTTGCACTTCATGGTTTTAGAGTTATTTTTCAGATGAATAATTCAACTCCAATTCACACAATCTAGCAGTGAGGTTTGGTACATCCMCAGCTGATATTTTTGCATCTCTAAGAATCTCCTTTCACTGGATTAATCACAAAATCATTAAGGTTGGAAAAGACCACGAGCAAGTGCAGCCTGTGATTGAATCCCACAAAATCACATCACCAAGGGCCATCTACTCATTTTTTGAGCACTTCCAGGGAGGGTGACTCCACCACCACCCTGGGCASTCCCTTCCAATGCCTGGGGCTTTGGAATTTCTCCAGGGATGGAATTTTTTCCCAGTGTCCAGCCCAAACCTCCTGTGGCGCAGTGATACAAACTCCTTCTCCTCAGGGCTGACCTCTGGGATGTCCATCCAGCACCATTTCCCACGTTTTGTCAGGATCACACATGGGAAAGAGGAGGAAATAATCTTTTCTCTCTGCTTTCTCCCGTTTCCAAACAGCCAAGGATTTCATCCGACACCTCCTGGAGAAGAACCCGAGCGTGAGGTTCACGTGTGAGGAAGCCCTGAGGCACCCATGGTGAGGGGATGGGATGGGGTGACCATGGGGATCCTCCACAGTGTCTCTGTGTCCCCTGGGAACAGCCGTGTCCCCCAGGAACAGCCATGTCCCCCACCCCAGCACCAACGTCACCGCCTCCCCCGCATCAACCTGCCTCCTTCTGGTGTGCAAAGAAAGCAAACCATGAATAATTAAAGATGYAATTTGTGCATATTTGCCTCCACAAACAGAGGCAGAGGAGAAATCCCACCCCGAGAGCTTTCCCGGGCTTTGAAGTGTGTGTTTGTGTTCCGTTTTGTTGCTGTTTTTCCTTTGGGTTTAATTATTGCTGATTGAACGTACAAAGCAGTTCAGTGCTTGCAGAATGTGGAATGCCTTACAAATGCCATCTGCCTCCGAGCCCGTTTCCTTCTCTCCCCATCTGCAGGATTAATGGAAATACAGCCCTTCACCGTGACATCTACCCATCTGTCAGCGCTCAGATCCAGAAAAACTTTGCAAAGAGCAAATGGAGGGTAAGTGGCTGCTGCSGGGAGCCCAGAGCCATTTCAGCAGGAAACACCAGTCGCTGTCAGGCAGAGATGAGCAGGGCTTCAGCTGRCTGGCTGAGCACCCAAACCTGCATCCTCCAGGCTGGGATTGCCAGTTTATGGGGTGTCTGGAGCAATATTCCCTGCTGCAGACACAACTGGGAGATTCACCACAAACCCCGAGCTGCAGGGACCTTGCCAGGAGAGCAGAGGGCAGGGGGGATTTTCCGGCTGTTCCCCTGGGGTGGGAGAAGCTGTAAACTCCAAAAGCATCACTGGTTGGAAAANTGTCCGGTGTCACCTGGGGGCACAGCCTGTCCAGTGTCACCTGGGTCACAGCCTGCCCGATGTCACCTGGGGCACAGCCTGTCCGGTGTCATCTGGAGCACAGCCTGTCTGGTGTCACCTGGGGCACAGCCTGTCCAGTGTCACCTGGAGAGCACAGCCTGTCCGGTGTCACCTGGAGAGCACAGCCTGTCCGGTGTCATCTGGAGCACAGCCTGTCCAGTGTCACCTGGAGCACAGCCTGTCCAGTGTCACCTGGAGCACAGCCTGTCCGGTGTCACCTGGAGAGCACAGCCTGTCCAGTGTCACCTGGGGGACACAGCCTGTCCGGTGTCACCTGGGGGACACAGCCTGTCCAGTGTCACCTGGAGCACAGCCTGTCCGGTGTCATCTGGAGCACAGCCTGTCCAGTGTCACCTGCGAGGTACAGCCTGTCCAGTGTCACCTGGAGCACAGCCTGTCCGGTGTCACCGGGAGAGCACAGCCTGTCCGGTGTCACCTGGGGACACAGCCTGTCCGGTGTCACCTGGAGCACAGCCTGTCCGGTGTCACCTGGAGCACAGCCTGTCCGGTGTCACCTGGAGGGGACAGCCTGTCCGGTGTCACCTGGGGGGCACAGCCTGTCCGGTGTCACCTGGGGCACAGCCTGTCCGGTGTCACCTGGGGGGCACAGCCTGTCCAGTGTCACCTGGGTCACAGCCTGCCCGATGTCACCTGGGGCACAGCCTGTCCGGTGTCACCAGGGGCACAGCCTGTCCAGTGTCACCTGGAGCACAGCCTGTCCGGTGTCACCTGGGGCACAGCCTGTCCGGTGTCACCAGGAGGGCACAGCCTGTCCAGTGTCACCTGGGGGGCACAGCCTGTCCGGTGTCACCTGGGTCACAGCCTGCCCGATGTCACCTGGAGCACAGCCTGTCCGATGTCACCTGGAGCACAGCCTGTCCAGTGTCACCTGGGGGCACAGCCTGTCCGGTGTCACCTGGGGGCACAGCCTGTCTGGTGTCACCTGGGGGGCACAGTCTGTCCTGCTGTCCCCAGCTGCTCACCACAGCCTTTCTCTCCTCCCCCAGCAAGCCTTCAACGCCGCGGCCGTCGTGCACCACATGAAGAAGCTGCACATGAGTGGCCACGGGGCAGCCGAAAGCTCTGTCCCTGTCACAGACACCTCGGAGCCCCCCCGACCCAGCAACCCCACGGGGACACCAAGAGATGGCAGGGACATGGCACAGGGACACCCAAACCCACCCACCCATCCGGAGCAGGACACGGCAGCGAGGGAGGAAAGGCTGGAGAGACCCGAGCCCGGGGACAGCAGCCTGATGTCACACACCCACAGTCCCCCTGAGGAGAGACCCCAGCCTGGGGACAGCAGCCTGGCCCTGCCAGACACCCACAGCCCCCCAGGCAGGAGCTCCTGTGGCTGCAGCCCCTCCTGTGTGACCCAAGAGAAGACAAAGTCCTGCTGCTCCGAGACTGTGCTGCTCAAAAAGCCTTCAAAATCCCAGTAGGTATCCAGGTCATAACTCCCGATAAACTCTGTAGGAATGCCGTGCCTGGAAGGGGATGCTGGCACAGGAGCTGGCACCCTGTGCAGGCAGCAAGGGAGGAATGAGCCAAAGCTTTGGCTGGCTGGAAGCTGTGCCCAGCCCAGGGGAGCAGGGTGCCCAGGCTGGGTGGCACAGTGCCCCATGGATTGGGGCACCTTGGTTTTCCAGGGGTTAAAGCTGTAATGACTCTGCTGGTGCTGAGGGAGCAGTCCCTGCCCTCCTGCCAGCTCGGCTTTGCTCTCCCAGTTGATGTTCTGCACATTAATAACTCAATTCCTTCACAGGATTGTCAATAATTGCTATTTCTCTTCTTTCTGTTCTGTTTCACCCATTCCCATCCAGTCATTTCAAGTCAGAGGTTCTTGTTCCAGTGAAAACCAGTAAACACTCGTCTCACTGTGGCACTGGGCAAACTGGAGTTTGTTTGATCATGTGATGGAGGCAACCACATTGTCAGAGGTGAGTGCTCTGCAATCCAATCACTGCCTGCTTTTAATTGATCCAATTAGGACAGGCAAAAGGGAAAAGCACAAACAGCACAGTGATTGCACATGAAATAAATGAACCCAGTTTTTTCACAAACACAAAAAGCCTTTCACCAAACCCCCTCTCCATCAATGACTCATCTCTCAGCTTCCATCAGGGCCAGTGCAGTGACTCTGAATCCAACTGCTACATCACAACAAGGTTGCCCAGGAACGTGAGAGAGGAAGCCAAGCACGGGTTGGCATTTCAAGCTATTTATTGGGAAAACACTGATCCCACCATGTCCCTCAGCWGGGATTAGGGCTGTGCAGCTGGGACTCAGCTGTGACCACAGCAAAGGGCTCAGCACAGGCAGGATGTCTCTGTCCCACATTTGGCCCAGGCAGGTTTGTGAGCAGAGCATGGACATGGTCATTTTGTAAAGCAGAGTAAAATAATGCAAATTCCATCCTGTCTGAGCCGAGCTTGGCTCAGTGCTGTGATCATTTGCACCATTTGGTGTGTGAGCAGCGGGAAGCTGTGCTGAGATCCTGCTCTAAGGARCATCCCAAAGGTGAGCTCTCCTGGCAGAGCTCCATCGAGGGAGCTCCCTCCTCTCATGTCCTGTGCCCATCTCTGATGAGGTTGTTTGAACAGAACTGCAACGCACAGAGGATGAACAGAGGAGACAAACTCGAGTTAGATCTGCTACGGACCCTAGAAAAGCCCTGTTCACCAATCAGTGCTGCAGAGCCCTTTGTAACCGAACCCACAAAGGGATCCAAGCTGTCCCTCGCCCCCTCCGCTGCTCATTAGCAGCTCCTTCTGCAGGCAGAGTGCAGTGGAACAAAGTCCAACCCTCACCCTCAATTCTCTCTCTTGCAGAACCAGAAGGGCTCTTTTACTTTTCTGCACTTCAGAGCCAGMGTGAGCAGSAAAGGGGCCGTGCCCCCGGCAGCTCTCCAGAGCAGTGCCCGGCTGGGAACGGGCACSCTGGTGCCAGGAATCACCCTGCAGTGAGCTGGGGCTGTTTTTGTGGATCACAGCAGCARGGAGGAGGCGAGGGAAGGCGTGAGGCTCCTGCTGGCACACCCAGTGTAAATAAACATAGGGCACCCTCAGTGCTACCCGCTCGTGTTTGCTGTGTGCTGTTCACCTGGCAAGGCACAAACGCACAACACCAACCCCACAGACCAAAGGTATGCACAGCTTCACTCCTCGTGGCTCAGTTGTTTTTACAATCCTCATCCTCTCCACCCCTGGAGTTCAGCTCTCACTGCAGCTGCATCAGGAGAGAGAACCTGCTAGAAACCTCCCTGTGTCTGRCAGTAACACAGCAAGGTCTGAATTCCACTTCCAAGTCTGTAATTGCACAATGAATGCTTGCTTAATAAAGCTGAGTTTTGTTTTGTAAAGTGCCTCTTGGTTACTGACAGAAATCTGATGTGGAAATGATCTGTTAAGTCCCTCCTAAAGCTTTCCCTGTGCATCCCAGACCTGCTCCTGCTGGTGTTTTTCTGGCAAAATGTTCTGTGGTAAATRAGCAGATTGTGGCAGAAAATCAAACAAGACATCTTATTTCACCTTCACTACTGGCCTGTGCTTCTCTAATTTGCATAAATGTAGGTGTKTTGTACAGAGGGAAATTAAATTCTCCATTTCTCTGATCTGGTTATTTGAAGAAAGATCTCAGAGGGAAGTACTGAARCCATGGCATGTTTGAAGAATTAACTACAGCAGATATGAAAAACATTAAAAGAACCCCACAGGAGGGCTTTAATTTGAACAGTGAAATTCAGCTTAAAGAGCTTGAATTGGCTAAAAGAAGAAAAAAAATAATTTCCTGGTTTATAAAGCCCTCTGGAAATAACAACCTGGGGATGTTTTTATTTGCCAGGGGAGCCTGATGTCTCTCCCCTTTTCTCCTCCAACCACTGGGCAGCTCTGGCCAGTCCAACCCACTCTGTGGGGTTGCTCCTTCGGTTCAGTGCAGCTTTTTCCAAAGGCATGGAACATTAACTTGCTAAAAATAGGGATATTGGGCACAGGAGAACTCCAGCTGGAAAATGGGAATGAAYGCAGCAGTCTGAGTGTGCAGAGGAGGCAGTTCCTCAGGAGCAGCTCTCGTAGTAGGTGACTTTCCTCTTGATGGTGTCCCGGAGCCTCCCTACCTGCTCCTCCAGCCCCGAGAGCCGTGACAGCCGCGACAGCAGAGCCTTGTTGCCTTCCTGAATTTCTGACTCCAGCGCTGAGGAGAGAAGGCAGCATGAGAGGGTTACATGGTGGGGTTGGGCTGAGCCTGCACCTCCCTCCTGTACAGCTCTGATGGGCCAAGAACACC